GGGGGGGGATTGAGATGAAATTAAATCGGTACCCTTTCTAGGTAGCATTCTCCAATCTACATCCAGAAAACAAACGAGATCCATATACTCATATACTGTCCAGCGCCGTAATTCCCAGAAACGCCAGAGCTGATGCGAAGATGCAGGATGAGGAGATGAGAAATGAGGTGAAGTAGTCGACAAGGAAGGAAAGAAGAAAAAAGAGAGAGAAAAAAGTCAAGCAGTGGCAGTAACTTTTGGCAAATCATCCTCGACAAAGACACCCAGGCCGGAAAAGGCGTCGAACAGTGCGCGGGAGAGGTACTCGTCGGAGCTGTAGCCGCCGACCTTCCAGTCGTCCTTTGTGCGGATGACGTCGAGCCACTCATTCCTGTACTCGCCGAGTCTGTCGGACGACAGGTCGTAGCGGGAAGGGGTGGTGTCGACGCCGCCAAAGGGGTCGTAGGGGCCGTCGTCGACGGCGGCGGCGGCGGCGGCCTTCTTGTTGCGCAGACCGCGGATGGACAGACCGCCTGCAGAGCTGGTGGGGGGTGCCGCTGCGGCGGCGGCGTCGCGCCTGGCCTGGCCGCGCTTCTTGAGCATGACGCGGTCGATGGCCTCGGTTGCGTGGCCGACGTCGGCCGTCTGCAGGGAGTCGAGCATCTCCTCGCGGAGGCGAAGGGCGCTGGCCTTGTCGTCGGCGTCGGCCTGGAGGTCCTGCTGGCGGCGACGGCGGGCGTCCTCGGCCTCGGCGGCCAGGCGTCGCTGCCGGGCATCCTCGGTCTCGCGGGCCAGGCGGCGGTTGCGCTCGATCTCGGCCTTGTGCTGGGCCTCCCAGTCCGAGAGCTTGGCCTCGGCGGAGCGGCGGGCGGGCTCGGCGCCAGACACCAGGTCCGACGTCAGGCACTCGACCATGTCGAGGTAGTCGTTGTAGTCCTTCAGCGTCTCGAAGTCGTCCTCGACCTTGTTGAAGATGGCAGCCACGCGGCGCCGCACGTCGACCTCGCGCTCAACCGAAAGGTCCGAGAAGAAGGCCGTCTTGAAGCCGCGGAGCCGGAGCGTCTTGTTACACGTCGCGTACGGGCACTGGTTAGGCCCGTCGCGGAAGATGCGCTCCACGCACGTCTTGCACATCCGGTGGTAGCATTCTGGGTTGATCTTGAATTCCATGTCCTTGTTGAAGTACCGCGTCGTCTTGCATACCGGGCACGTCTCGTCCTGCTCATCGATCTGGACGACGCCGCCCGGTCGGGACATGGTTGGTGGTGGTGTTGTATTTATTTATTTATTTTGGGAGGGGGTGGATTTTTCAAAAAGGATGCAAAAAATAAAAGATGAAAAGTGAAAAATAAATCTATAAAAAAAATACGTCCCTTCTCTCGTATCGTGTGTCTCTGAAATTCAGACTATATCGTCGTGATTGTGTGATGGAACGTTTAAGAGGAGGGAGAAAGTAGGAGGATGATGATGGTAGTTGTGGTAAGAAAAGAGGCTTACCGTAAGTAGGGAAAGCTTTCCAAACCCACCACCCCCCCCCCCCCCTCCAAGCGATTGGCCGTGATTATTCAACTCGTTCTTGCCCCTCCAAGACCATGTCACCAATTCTTCTTTCCATCACTTTCCACAAAGTCGCAACTCGCAACTCTCTGCTCGCAACTCACAACTCTCAGCTCGCAAGTCTCGTCTCGCAGCAATAAAAAAGTTTACCATAAAAATATATACTCAACGGGAAAATGGCTGATGAAGGTTTCGTACCCCTCTCAATTCTGCTCAGCTCTACAGCAGTCTAACCCTGTGAGACTTATAGAACCTACACCCGCCCAGCAGGCAGCCGCTCGCGCCAAGGAGGCCGAGGAGCAGGCCGCCCTCCCGTACAAGTGGACGCAGCAGATCCATGAGCTCGACGTGGCCTTTATCGTTCCGGGGAACATGAAGTCCAGAGATATAGTGGTTGATATCAAGCGCAAGAAGCTCACGGGTGGTATAAAGGGTCAAGACCCCATCATCAGTGTAAGCAATTGAACACCCCCACTACCACCACTACCACCATCGCATACCACGTCTTAGCCTCGCCGACTGACTCCGAAACAAAACGAAAAAAAAAAAAAAAAAAAAAAAAACAGGGTGACTTACCTCATGACATCAACGTCGAAGACTCTACATGGACGCTGTCGACCAACTCGGACGGCACCAAGACGGTCGAGATTCACTTGGACAAGACCAACAAGATGGAGTGGTGGGCGCACGTCGTCACCGACGCCCCCAAGATCGACGTGACCAAGATTCAGCCTGAGTCGTCCAAGCTGTCTGACCTGGACGGCGAGACGCGCGGCATGGTCGAGAAGATGATGTTTGACCAGAGACAGAAGGAGCAGGGTCTACCCACCTCGGACGAGCAGAAGAAGGAGGATATCCTCAAGAGGTTTCAGGCTGAGCATCCCGAGATGGACTTTAGCAATGCCAAGATAAATTAAGATGCATACGGCAAAGGGATTGTATCACATACGCAAGTGGTTGAGAGAAGAAGAAAAAGTGTTTGTTTCATGGCGCGTGCGGTTGCTTCATCCCCTTTCATTCATCAACACACACACACACACACACATATGTATATATATATATATATATTATAATTCACCTTTTTCGCCCACGTCATCTCGACTCCAGTACATTCGCTGCTCGTTCCAGAAACGCATTGAAATCCTTGAGCTGGCCTAGCAGACCGCCTCGGGGACTCGCAGAGCTCACCTGGTCGGCTACCTGTGCCACCGCGAGCTCAAGGTTGGCCAGCTCAGCCTCCTTCTGCTGTCGTTCCGGCAGCTCCGGTGCTTCTCTACCGTGGGATACGGCCAGATCAATGTCCCGCATCGTGGTCGACGTATTCAGCAGGAACTTGCAGCTGCATGTCAGCATCGCACGCACGACACCATGTCCATGTATAGTAAGGGGTGAAGGAGAGACCAACATTCGCATCCTTGGTGTCGGACTCGTGCTTGGCCCGCACACCGTCCATCCGGAGGGCCACCTGCTCCCTCTCTCCCTTGAGACGTAGGATCTCCTCTCTGAGTGCCAGCTTTTCCTTCTGCGCGTGACGCACACGCTTCCTCAGCGAGTGCCAATGGTTCAAATGTATAGCCTGTTTTTTTTTGTTTTTGTTTTTGAATTAGACCCATCTGTAGTCGTATCGAACCGGTTCAGTCCAGACTTACATGCTGTAGCAGACGTGACCCCACAACTTCCCTGTAGGACTCGACGGCTCGGACCTTGGCCCGCAGCTCCTTCTTCCTCCCGGCGTCGGTCGCCTTGTCCAGCGCGTCGTGGAACTGGTCCAGCGTGTTGGCGATGACCTCGTCGCACACCTGGGCGAAGACGTCGACGGGCGTCTCCTGAGTGCGGTTGGCAAACGGCATATCGAGCTGGAGGGGGTCGGCGTCGTCGTCGTCGTCGCCGCCGCCGTGTCTGCGGTGGTTGACGAACCGCTGCACGGTGAGCGCAATGGCCCCGGCGCCGTCGTCGATGCTATCCTCCTGGGTTTCGTCTTCGTCGTCTTCGTCTGTGCTGGGCTGCCTCGGTCGTCTGGGTCTGGGCACTGGAGCTGGTCTGGGCTGAGCCCTAGGTCTGGGAAGAGGGTATGGTTTTGGTGCTGATGCTGCCGTCGCCGGCTTTGGCTTCCCCTGTTTCTGCGTTGCGGGGCTCTTGCTCGGTCGACCTCTCTTCCGACTCGGCTGCTGCTCGCGCATATCCGTCTCTTGGTCTTCGTTCTCGCCCAACTGCGGTGACGGTGCCGTCCTCGGTCGCTTCGTGCCCAATGTTCGCGCTGCCTCGATCTCTCCAATAGTCTCTGCCTGCTCTTCTTCTTCTTCTTCTTCTTCTTCTTCCGGTAGCTCTACTTGCTTGGGCACCTCTGGGCTGAGGTGTTGTTGTTGTTGTTGTTGCTGTTGTCCCTCTGGGGGGGCCGATGACCCGGCGGGGGACAGCTCGTCCACCTGGTCGATGTCATCCTCGGGAAGCTGCTCGGGTGTCCGGCGGGTGGCCTGGCTAGCTCTCGCAGAGGCGCTGGCCTCGCTGGCACGCGACTTGCGCACCAGCGGCGACGACGACATGGGCGTGTTCCGGTCCGACCGTAGCGTGGCCTGCAGCCTGGCGCTCGATGCCAGCGCGCTGCCTGGGCGAACGCTCGTCCTCCGACCGCTCCCGGGAGCATTTTCCGGGCTCTCCCCGATCTCCTCGACGATGGATGCCGGCCGGCGGGCGCTGGGTATCGATCGGACGCTGGACGGCGGCGGCGGCAGGCTCTCGAGCTCGCCTGGTGCTGTGGCCGCCGTCGCTTCCGCCGGTGTGCCGCTCCGTTCCCTCCGGACCGTGCTGACGATGCGCTGTGCCGCGACGCTGGGCGCCCGCGTAGTGCGCGATGCCGCGTTTGCCTCCGCGCCATCTGACTCCTTAGATGTGCTGGGTAGGTCGTCCGTACCGCGTTTCCGGGGGGACCTCCTCTGCGGTTGTGGCTGCCGTTGTTCTCCGGCGGCGTGGTTCGCGGGCGAGGACGTCGGCGCTGCATTGTGTGCCGTCTTGCGTCGCTTGGCTGGCGAGGAGCTCTGCTGCTGCGGCGAGGTCGAGGGTGGCGCGGATGATGACGCAGCGAGGTCGCCGAGGTCTAGGTTGAAGGACTCGTCACCGACGTTGGTGCGTCTGGATCGAGCAGCATGTCAGCGCAAACCGCAGGCCTGGGGGAAGAACGGGAGCGGGAGCGGGGAAGGGACATACTGGGCGCCACGGAGTCGGTCGTTGAGACGCTCTGCGCGAGCTTCGCGGCCTGCGTCGTGATCCTGTTAGGCAATGACGATCCACATATACTTCGGCAGAAGGTCCGTGAGCGGTGCCTACCTGTCGCCATGGCAGACGTCACGAGGCGCCTTGTCTGTCGGAAATATCACTGAAAATCTGCTGGTTGGTTCGGACGCGGGGGGGGAGGGGGAGTGCAGATTGTCGGCTCTGCGTTGTGGTCGCAATGGTTTATGGACCGTGGGTTGGAGTGATGTGACGTGGGCAGAGCTGACGACGCGTGAATGAGACGCGTCCAGCTTTGATGCACAGAGGGTACGCCGTAATGTGGCGGGGCAAAACATCACCACACTGGAACCACAAGGTGATCGGGCCGCTTTGGCAAGCAACAGTGGCAAAGTTGTTGTTTTCTTTACCTTTGTTTGCTTTCTTCTTCTCATCTTCTTTCTATCTGCTTATACAACTCACAGACATGCAATACATTACAGATAGTATAGTTCTTCTCGTGAACGGCTCAAATAGATGGCTGTGTGCGTTGCATCGTCACATCGTACATGGTATTATAGTAATACATACTTGTGTTGACAGTAACAGAAAACATCGATTTCATCCAATTCATGATATTATATAATAATACAGTAAGATAAAAAAGAAGATGAGAAAGAAGAAGAAGAATCCCAGGAGTATGACGGTGAGCATAGTCAGAGAAATCCCTTTTTTTTTTTCTTACATTGCAAAAATTCTTCTACGGTTTTTCCTCCTCTGTTGCCGCAGTTGGGTCCACGATCCATTCCATCCTTTTCTCATCAAAGATATGACTGTTTGATACGGCTGGTCAGTCGTGGCATCTTCGACATCGAGATCAGAGCGGTTCGGGGAGACTTACGCATGGAAGTGGGTGTTCTGGAGGGCCTTCTTTCCATACTCAGACTCGAGCATTTTCTTGTACGAGAAGGGGATATTAACCGGGGCACCTTCAAACGTCGTCTCCAGCAGCGGATACAGATACGTGTCCTGCGTCATCGTGCGGTCAGCAGCTGCCGTCGTGCGCCGAGTTGGAGCCTCGGTGGGTGGAAAGACTTGCTCTGTACTCGTGGCCGTTCTTGTCATACAGGATACCCTCCCCCCGGGGATGGTCGATGTTATACCGGGCAGCCGTGATGTCGATATACAGACCGGTCGAGGTGTCGACCCACCTGGCGTCGATGACGTTGAGGACATCATCCGTGCCGCGGTGCACATAATGGGGGTTCAGATCCAAGAGGTAGAAGCGCCCTTCCGGCGCGCCCTCGTACTTGTAGTAGTAGGTCGTCATGTTGTGGTAGGCGGCAAGGTAGTACATGTCGGCCTCGCTGATCTGGACGTCGGCGTCTAGATCCCACGGCATGATCTGTCTCGTTCCGGGATGGTCAGCTCGGCATCTGAGCAGCGAACCCATTGCCTCGGCAGTGAGAGGGGCGGTCCTGTCGTCCTCACCTTCTTCCCCCACCACCAACCCAGCAGCGACCCGTGCATCAGCCACGTCTGGACGCCCAGCTCGTGGAAGGTGGACAGGTACGTCTGGATCAGAGCCTTGATGGCATCTCTCTGGTCATTCTCGGCAAGGGGTTCCACCATGAACCTCCCATCGTAGTGCGCGTGAGTCCTTTTCATCCCGCCTGTGCGTCAGCAGTTGCATGCACGAGTGGCCTCTATCTCTCTCTCTCTCCCACGCACACACACACACACACACTCTCTCTCTCTCTCTCTCTCACACACGCGCGCGCGCGCGCTCTCTCTCTCTCTCTCTCCCCCTTCACTCATAATGACACATACCGTGCTTCCCCTATCCATCATCGTCAGTTAGCACAGTTTCGATGAGCTTGCCCGCAAGGATAGAGAGGCTGGTTGGGCCGTCCGTCAATGGACCAAGCCCCCCCCCCCCCCCCCTCCTCTCCGGCCATTCGGAGGGCACAGGTCAGGATGGAGACTGTACTCACGAAAGTATTTAGGCTCTGGAAAGACTCGCTCCTCCGATGATGATGATGCCGGTAGGGCAAGGGAACAGCCAGCCCAAGACACAGCGGCCAGCACGCCAAGAAATCTCATGCCGAATATGTGGGGGTGGATCACCCAGCAATGGCTTGTCTCGATGCAAAAAAAAGTCCAGTGAGGACGGAATCGTGATGATGGATGCTGCAGGCGGTTTTTTATGTTACCACCAGCAGAGCAGAAGGCGGATAGTTGTGGTGGTCGAGAAGGGACGGAAGCGTTTTCACTCGTAGCTTCAATCGAATTTCAATGCCCTCTCTCTCTCTGTCTCTCTTCTCTCTCTCTCTCTCTCTCTCTCTCTCTCCCTGCTGGGGAGGGGCGCAATATCGCTGGCGTAGGTCCGTGACGCGTCTATGTACCGGCCCTCCCGTGGCCACCCAATCCGCTGACTCAGGCAGGGGGGGAAAGTACGGGTATGCATGAATCTCTTCTTGTGTGGCGGGAAGTTGATGAACCATACCTCTGTAATATTTCCAAGTCGACAAGATAAATCATCTGTCGTTGTCAATATGGGACCTCCGTATCGGGGTTTCTTTTCTTCATTTTACTCGATAACCTTAAAATTCTCTCTCCGTCATTATGGATGTATTCCTACGAGGTAGAGTACCATTCGATGCTGCAGATTATGACAATCTACGGGGTACAGATTACTCCGTACATATAATAATAATAATAATATTACGAGTAGAACGTCCTTCTTTTTTCACGTAGACACCCACCAATGAGACAGAGCGGCGATGGCGAATCTTGCCCTGATTAGACTTGAACTCGTATTCTTGAATGATGCATCCCTGTTCTTCTGTCTCGTACTATATGTATTCTGCGAGCAGAGCCCAGACCACCTCTCTAACCGTCTTTCTCAACCGTCTTCATTCTCAGCTGTCTTTATTACCGTTACTGCTTGCGCAGACACCGCCAAACGCCGTATGATGGTTATTCCGATCCGGATCCGAGCCTCAGGCCTCTATGCAGAACATCATCAACTTGGAGATATCTACGGCCTCGTCCTCCCTCAGATAGATAGAGCAAGTAACATCGATATAACTGCCGCTGCCCTTCTTTCAGAGGGGCTGGAACGCCTGTATCATCTCCATCAACGTGCGTGTGGACGTAACCAACAGTTACATCTTCCCCATATTGAGCATCAATCCTATTTATATGATTATATCTATATATGTAACTCCATGAACAGCCGCGCGAGTTCACTTTGACCCCTGCTCTCGCTTACCCTACTCATAAGCAGATTGCGTAAGATACGTCGTCCGAGGTATCGTGAATGGTCGAAACAGTGGAAGAATAACTTTTTTTTCGCTATCGAGCTAGTTCGAAGAGTGGCGTCTCCCGGACGTTGTTTACTCATATGATCTCAAAGTGTTACTTTCTTTTCCGTTTGACGCAGTCTATCTCTATGGGGTGGGATGATGGCTAATCTTACAATGACAGTGTTGGTGACTGATCCGTAGTCAAACGCCAGTTCTATGAGAAAGCTTGACCTTGAAAAATTGAAAAAAAAAGTAAAATTATCCCAGTCGACATGAGCGCAGAAGATCAATATGAACAAACTTCTTATGCATCGAGAGGGTTGAAGATGACACTTTTCCTCATTCCCCGAGACTTCAACTCTTCGTTCTTCATCGACAAGTAACCTTGTCTTGCAGCGTAATGGAATAATATGTCCGCCTTACATCTACCATTTCCATGAGCGACGAAACAGCCATAGTGACCAGTATTTGATCAGGATACAACAGGAATAACATCTCTTTTCCTCAGATTCAACATCTACAGGCACCCATAACATCGGCTCATCACTCCTTCTCTGCACAGGCTTCGGAGACTGGGCGGTCTCTTCACCAACAACACGGACTCCAGTTTTTGGGTGGCCATCTTGAAGGCCCCACTTTCGGCTGCCGCGTCCACCCCGCTGACTCATCCAACTCTGCGGCTTGCTTTCGAGACGCCTCCCAAGCTTCTCCGAATCATGACCGTGAACTGTTCCGATCGCAAACCCGACAACCTCATCTACGCCATCACTCTCCGTGCCTCTGACTGATAACGACTAGACGGCAACACGTATTACGGCTACCGGATTACTCTTCAGCGGTCGTCTTGGCTGCGGCGCGATCGGTTGATGCCGAGACGAGGCGTGTGGTGGCACGCTGGCCAGCATGGCACCCGGCGAGAGCAGGTCCGCCTCATTTGAGGATACAGACTGGGATGCTCAGAATGCTGCCGACAACCGCGAGATCGCCAAGCTTCTTGAGCAGAGCCAGGATGGCACCAGCGGAGGCTTGAAGCTGGACGACACACCCTTCGACCAGGCCGATAAAGCTGACGATGCGGAGGACTTTGAGGACATCAGCGACGATGATCTCCCCGACGAGGTGCCCAGCGCGACGACGTCGCTCGAGATGCCCGGCCTGACGGACGACGGAGGCACTAGCAACGACGCCGACGACTTGTTCGGCGAGGGCCCGTCTTCTCCAATCGACCCTGTCCTGGGCCCCCCCTCACCTGGGGCCCAGGTCCGCGATGACGGCGACGGCGACGGCGACGGCGGCGACGAGATGCAGCCGACGGAAGCGACGCTGAGCTTCCCCGGAATAAACTTCGATCCCGAGCCTGACGCCGGCAACCAAGACCCCGACATCCCGGAAGCAGCGGAGACGGCCGAAGAGGTCGTCAAGGCTACCTGGCCAGCATTCAAGAAGGGCCGCATCCTGACCTGGAGCGAGATCCTGCCCCCGAAGAAGGCTCTCTGGAAGGAGAAGAAACCGGCCAAGCGACCTAAGCGGCTGGTTATGAGCAAGCTGAACCTGGAGCTGGAGGCCGATGAAGCAGCCGCGTTCCGTCTCCCTGGACCTCGGGCGTCGGAGCACAAGTACGGCCAAGCGGCCACCAGCGGACACCTGGTTCGCTGCGACTGGGTACCCTCGGACGAGAGGGAAGACATGGCCCAGTTCAATATCGATCAAGCATCCGACTCGGAGGCTGTCACGGGCTTCTCCCTACGTGACATCGAGATGGCCTGCGAGGATTGGGGGGCCCAGATCAGCGACGTCGAGTCGAGCTTTGCCGCCCGGCAAGAGGCTGCCGAGCAAGAGACTGCATCACGAAAGCGTCTCGTTGATACCGAAAAGGACGATGAATGGGATGCCGAATTCCTGCTGGACGGCGAGGGGCCACCCAAACCTCAGCCAAAGAAACGCAGAAGCATACCTAGGGGGCTGCCGGAAATCCCGCGCTACACGGCACCGTCCTTTGACGATTTCGAAGAGGCGACCCGGCGGGGCGCTAAGCGCGTTCACCTGGACATGTCAGACCCTCACCTCCTCATCGAACCTCAGGACTCCAGCCGGGGAGCGAAGCGACCACGTCAGGACGGCGTGGAATCTAAGCGGGTCAACAACGGAAAGCTGGGACGCGACATCGCTTCGCGTTTCAACCTCTCCAACGACGAGGCTTACGATCTGCTCAAGGAGAACCACCAGAGCAAGGTGCGCGCCACTCTGGGCAACATCTCCGTGGAGCACGGTATGCCCGCTGTCAAGCTCACCTGGCCGTACTACAAAGTCAAGCTTCCCGGGACCACGGATGAGTACCACCGTCCTCGTTTCCGGTACAAGAAATTCTCTGGCCACGTCATCAGGTTCGACAAGCCCCTCTCCCACAAGAAGAAGCACATGAAGGGCAAGGCACCCGACGTCTTCGCGTCCTCCAAGGACCTCAGCATGAACGACAACTCCTCTGCTGTCCTCTTCGAGTACTGCGAGCCGAGGCCCAGGGTTCTCAACAACTTTGCCATGGGCAGCAGGCTCATCAACTACTACCGACGAAAGGATGCAAAGGATGAGGAACAGCTGCCCAAGCAGGAATTGGGAGAGTACCGTTTCCTCCTGCCCGAGGACCGCTCGCCATTCTCGCTCTTCGGAACGGTGGATCCTGGCGAGACGGTGCCGACCCTGCACAACGAAATGTACCGCGCGCCCATCTTCAAGCACAGCCCTAGGAGCACCGACTTCATCATGGTGCGGAGCACCACCGGGGCAGAGGGCTCCAAGTGGTATCTGCACAAGATTGACCACCTCCACGTCGTCGGACAGGCGTTCCCCTCCGTCGAAGTGCCTGGACCGCACAGCCGCAAGGTGACGAACGCGTCCAAGAACAGGATGAAGATGTTGGCTTTCCGCATGATAAGGCATAGCGGAACGGACAACTGCCAGCTCTCCGACATCACGTACCACATTGCGGAGTCGACGGATACCCAGAATCGCCAGAAGCTCAAGGAGTTCCTGCAATACGACCGCGACAGCCGAGAACGGGGCATGTGGCGTCTCAGGCCCGGCGAGATCCTGCCTGACGAGAGTGCGGTCCGCGCCATGGTCAAGCCCGAGGAGGTGTGCCTCCTGGATGCCATGCAGCTGGGGATCAAGGAGCTGGAGGACGCCGGATACGACCCCAGGAACGCCAACATCGACGACGAAGCCCAGCTGGCCGACGCGGACGCGGACGAACCCGACGACGACGACGAGGGCAGCAAGGCCGGCAAGCCAGGTGGCGGTGGCAAGAAGGCAGCCGAGAAGCAGGAGGAGACGCTGGCGGACAAGATGGCGCCCTGGAAGACGACCAAGGCCTTCATCGACGCCTGCGCCCAGAAGGCGATGCTGCAGCTGCATGGCGAGGGCGACCCGACCGGTCACGGCCTGGGATTCAGCTTCATCCGAACGTCGATGAAGGGCGGTTACATCGAAGCGGTGCAGGGACCGCTGGCTACCTCGGCCGACGCGATGGAGCGCGAGAAGCGTGCCAACGGAGGCCACGCCTACAACGTGAAGAAGCAGCAGGCCATGTACGAAGAAGGCATCCGTGAAATCTGGGAGAAGCAGAGGATGACGCTATCGGACACCCAGGAGCACGACGACAAGGACGTGGCAGCGACGGAGGACGAGGACGAGCGGTTCAACGTCAACATCGCAGCGACACCCGCGCAGTTTGACGACGGGACGAGTCAGATTAGTGGCTTCACCTCATCCAGTCGGCACGCCAAGCGGGCGATCCGCATCAACCGAGAGTTTCGACTGGCCGACGGCACGACGCAGATCAGGCCGGAAGTCGTGCATGACCCGGTCGTGATATCGCAGTACATGAAGCGACGGACAGAAGCCGACCTTGAAACGAAAGAGTACGTCAAGACCCATCAAGACATGTACCCTGACATTGCCGTCCGCTCTCGGACCAGGCACACCAGGATCTCTGGGGGACATCATCGGGCTCGAGTTTCGGAGCGAATGCTTACACGTCTCTGTCAACAGCATCTACAGTTCCCGTCCTACAGGCAATGCCGACCACGATCGTCTCGCAGGCCTCAGGTATGGCCTTTCTCTCTCTCCCCTCCTCTTCTTCCCCGAGCCCATTCTCTGTCTACCCTGGCACCACTCCTCAGCCTCCACCTCTTCAGCTGCCGGCTAACACTGCTACACAACAGAATCAAGAAGGAGCTCGAACGACTGGAAAAGAACAAGGCCCGACGGCAAGCTCGCGAGCAACAGAAAGAACTGCACAACAAGGCTCACGGCATCTCAGGCAACATAGCGGGCAGCATCTCAGCAGGCGGCGGCGGCGGCGGCGGCGGCGGCGGCGGCGACGCCGGATCACCCGGATCCACTGCGGGAGCAGCAGCATCAACACCTGCGCCACCGGGCGGAGGCGTCGGAGGCGGCAACGTCAGCGCCAGCACGAGCGCCAGCAACATGGACAAGATCGCGACGGGGACGACCCGCAAGTGTGCTAATTGTGGTCAGGTCGGGCACATCAAGACGAACAAAAAGTATAGAAACCCCCTGTTCACCTCCCCTAAATTACCCTCTGATCTGCGTGCGGGGAGATGCAGAGGAAGAAGAAGCAGAAGCAGCGACGACAGCGACCCAAGTGGGTACCCGTGGTGGTGATGCGACAGGAGAGATGTACCGGCCAGAGCGGCATAGGCATCATCGTCATTTTCATCATACACAGACCTCCCTAGCAGAACGGTGAAGGCGAGGAGAAACAGCCGGCAGCTGTCCTCAAGCTCGTTGAATGAAGCGGACCGCCAAGCCGAGAGAAAGGCGAAGGCAGCAGGTCCGAGAAGAAGGCGAGCGAGTGCGCGAAGAAGGACGGCAGCTGCGCAGAGCCAAGCGAGAGGCCGATGCGGAGAAGAGACAACTGCGAGAGGAGAAGGGCGAGGAGGAGGACGGGAAGAACGCAAGAGGGAGAAGAGATGCAAGCCCCATCTGACCGTTTCCGGGAGCGGGAAGATGAGAGGACATGCCAGGTCCGAGAGAGAGAGAGAGGGGCTGAATTTCCAGGCAGCGCACGGAAGTCCAGGCACATGCCAACCCTCGACGCATCACCACCACCACCACCACCACCACCACCACTACACAAACACCACGTCTTCTTCTTCTTCCATCCTACGCATCGCACATGATCCGAAACAGACGCATGATTGCTAACAACTTCCAAAAAAAAGGTTATGTCCTCTGCTCAACGGGACGATGAGCGGCGATAACGGCGTCGCAGAACATGGCGGGTTCGGGTCCTACAATGCACCGGCGGGATCACCGTAGACGATATTCAAAAGGGGCAGTAGATGTGTACGATTCTTCAATCTCTCATCCTCCCCTCTCCTGTCTCCTAGGAGGCGGATGGGTTTGCAGTCCGAGTTCAAGAGGGGGGGGGGAGGGGAAAGGAACGATTATCTGGTTTTCCTCTTGTTCTTCTCTCAGTCGGATGGGTTTGCAGTCCGAGTTCAAGAGGGGAGGGGGGAGGGGAGATGCGTGTATGTGTGTATATAAAAAAAGATTTGGGAGGGGCGGAGTTTCTATTCTTCTCTTTCCTCCATCATTTTCCAAATTTTTGTTGAGCATCGGCGTCTGTTTTATTTCAATTTTTTTTTTGGGGGGGGGAGGGGAGGGGGGAAGAAAGGAGCCCCATAACACAGATGAAAATCAAACCCTTGCGTCAAACAATAAAAAGGTTTTTTTTATTAAAAAAAAAGGAGAGATGAAGCGGGGTTAATCTTCCGCGATTGACGATGCGACTGATGAGATGACCAATCAGACAATCTCATCTATTCAGCGACGTTCTGCACATGGGAGAAACTCGTTAGGGTAAAGGGATATATCATACGGTGCCCGTACATGTACAATACGCGTAGATGGTAGAGGCCGGGAGGTAGGACCTGGGAGGGCTGCATCTTGTCGTTATTATTATTATTTAATTTAAAAATTTTTCTCTCTTCTACTCTCATCTTGACAGTCTACCCTCTTCTTGGCGGATTGCTATTATCGTACACGTACGGAGTACAGGCAGCCTTGGTGGTCCCGCAATGGAGCTCCACGGAGTACGGAGACAGATTGCAGTGATGATGATGATGATGACACTTACTATTTACCTGTAGCCTCTTCCAAGGGGCCCGGCAGGTGAGGCTGCTCGCGTACCTGGCTGGATGGCGGGAAGCGAGAGCAATGAACCGACTAGAGAGCACCCACAGTACAATCTACCATCATCTGTGGTCTATCGGTGCTGAACGTTGCCTAGGGCTGGCCGCGTATCTAGCTTCTGTACTCCGTACTAGCGGCATAGGATGGGAACAAGGGGAGGGGAGATGATAGGAGATGATAAAGATGGAGATAAAAATAGATGATGGCGGCACCCCACGGACCCCGCGGACCCCGTGGACCCCGTGGACCCCGGTGACAGGAATCATGGAGACCGACATCCATCAAGGTTGTATCGATGCTGGAGTCGGAGAGTCATTCTGACTAGATCAAGCTGGGTGTTTTCTCTCTCTCTCTCTCTCTCTCTCTCTCTCTTCCTTTCAATCGAATTTCCAAGATTTCCTTTATTTATTCAATTTTGTTTTTTTCTTAGCTTAATTTTCCTAATCTCCATCTTCATCGTCTTCCCTTCCTCTCTTGAATGGGCCAAGGACCGAGGGTAGAGTAGAGAGCAGTGATGAGCCGTATCTCAAGTGAGCAGATTACGAGGGACGATACCAACAGCAGCAGTCAGCAGCCAGTACTCGATACCGTATACTATTGCCAGCGCATGCCGGTAAGTAATCTGATGCTGCACGCCGCTTGGCAAGACAGCCGAGAGAGTCTAGCAGGCTGGGCTGGATCGGGTTCGAACCAGTGCATGGCCGTGACGGGATGACTTGAACAGGGGGGCTGTGGGAGAGCTTGGCGGGTAGTAGAGAGGCCAAGATGTGGCATCGTCGTAGATGTAGGGTCCTCTCGGGTGCGGTGCGCACCGTCTGGCCCGGGGAGGATGGGGGGGGGGGGGGCGTAACCTATCCAGAGCGGATTCCCGTCAAGACCTCGAGCGCTTCACCTGCTGTCGACGGGGACACTTGGGGGGAGGGGGACGGCGACGGCGGTTGACGAGGCGATTCCGAGAGGAGCAGGAGACGGACAGGATAGAGGTGACCTGGGACAGCCGTCGGTCTCTGCCGGAAAGGCCTGCACGCGATGCCGGTACGGGCAGACGGTAAGATGGAGGTCGGGCGCAGAGACGGTAGGGCGGCACACAGCCACCGGCGCGCTGCAGAGGCAGGAGAGGAGGAGGTATCAAGAATAGACTGGGCGGGAAGGGCAAGGCGGTGCAGGATACAGGGCTGAGCCGGGATGGAAGGATATATACAGATTACTCTGTACTGTACAGTCATGGCAGTATTATCATCCGTACCTGGCAAGCGAGCGCGAGCGGGTAGCAGGTACTGCATATGGCATCGTACTACTACTACTGCTAGTGATAGCACTGAAGAGTAGAGTACTGAAGAGTAGTACTGAAGAGTAGCAGTACTAAGGAGTAGTACTGAAGAGTAGTACTAAGGAGTAGTACTGAAGAGTGGTAATAGAGAGTAGTGATATACCATCTTTAAAATAAATCAGGGGAAAACCAAACCCCCTCCCCCCCC